TACTTCTCCATTTTCACTCTTTATGATCCAACTCATTCAAAATTCCAGTGAGTCATGAGGATGTTTTATTTTCCATATTCTGTTACCATATTCCTAGGTTTGCTCATGGGTCAGAGCCTGAGCTAGACTGCAGAGTATGCCTGTGTTTTGAAGCATAGGGATAGTGACCTCTCCAGCTCTCATAGTCACCCTCTCTTCCCAGCTCAAATATCTCCTGTTATTCTGTACAAGATCCTGTCTTTTCCAACATGGGTAACCAGTCACATTTTTCTCGGTCCATGTAATTGCTTGAAAAGTGAATTAAGGCTTTGGTCCTGACCCTGTGGATGGACTGGGGACGGGACTGGCTTCTGGATGGAATGTGTAATAAGAAGTAAACAAATGAAAGGAACTTTATCATTGACCTCTTTGGAGGTATATATTCTACAGTTAAATCTCCAAAATCGTGCTCTAGATGAGTCACTTTTCTTGTTTTTGAGAACGCACTTGTGATCAGAAATAAAAGTTCACATTTCTCTATGTGTATTTATTTAGTATATGAATAAATGAATGAATGATTCAAAACATTTTATTGCAACATAACTTATTGTGTATAAGTTTATTATCAATCTATTAATAAAATTTATGTTTTAATTGTGAATATTAGTTTTAGAGTTGATTTTAAAAGTTTTTTTTAGCTATGGAATGATAGTCGTTTAATAAGATTCTGAAGAAGTATATATAGTATAAAAATGATTTGAAGAATAAGAACTTTGAAAAGAATGTATGACAGCCAAATAGTGCATATTAAGGAGCATGTACTATGTCTAACATAGAATATTGAATCATGGTAATTTAAGTGTGAGACATGGTCCCTGTCCTTGAGAAATAAACCCTAAAATGCCTAAATCTCTAAGTTACATTATCTATCAAATTATATGTAGTTGAATGATTTAGAATTATAGTAATTAAGAGAATGGTTATTTAGGGACAGTTTTTAAGTTTAGAAAGATTAAAGCTCACTTAAAAGACAGTATATGTCTTAGATGAGTAATAAGAAGTAAACAGAAATCTGTAAAAATGGATTGAATGTGACTGATTAATCAGTAGTATTAGCTTGTCTGGAAAACGTTCAAAACTAAACATATTGAAATGTAGAGCTCAGAAACAGGTAACTTCTGTAACTGAATAATGCTCTGTCTCATTTGGAAGCAGTAGAGATGGGTCATCAAGATGTCAAGGCACAACTTGATGGTCAGTAAGATCATGCAACGAGCTTCCCTCTATCAGAGCCATGTTTTGAAAACAATTTTTTTCTAAACTAGATTTTGGACCCAGGGGCTTCACCCCAAGCTACATCCACATCCTTTAAAACAAAAAATAAGTTTTTTGAGACAAGGCCTCATTAAGTCTCTAAATTGCCCTGGCTGGACTTGCACTTGTAATCTTTCTGCTTCAGCCTCTCAGAGTGCTGGGATTATATAGATGCACTTGTCACATATATAATCAGTCAGCTTGAATATAATTCTTAATATCAGATTTATCACACTATAGAACTATAGGTTGGAAAATATTGTGTAAAAATGAGTTTTTTAAATTTGGTGATTAAATTTTTTTTAACGATTTAGCATTCAATTTAAAAAGTCCTACTTCTTTAAGAGACAGTAAATATTTATTTCATCTCGTATCAATTTTTAAGGACACAAGACTGTCACGTAGGTATTTTTTAAGGACATTTAGTAGACATCTACTTCATCTATATGTTGAGTTTGTTGGCATAAAGTAGCATCTGTAATAAAACTTTGTTGCTGGAATTGGTGATTTGCATTCTTTTTCTTTTGATAGGTCTAGTAAGGAGTTAATCAATTTTGTTGATATTTTCTAAGAATCATTTTATTAATCTTTTAATTTATTTTGACTTGTGTTGTCTTACTTCCTCTCTTATTCTGTTTACTTTGAGTTTCTATGCTCTTTTTACTAATTCTTTATTTTTAACTTTTTTTTCTTTCTTTTTTTGGACTAGGGGTCAAACTTACAACCTTATGCTTGCCAGGCAGGCACTTACACCACTGAGCTAAATCCCCAACTGTTTTTTAACTTTTTAAAAGTAGGTTCTTTATCTCTCTCAGCTTTAATGAGCTATAAATGTAAAATAGTAAAATAGTTGCATATATATCTAGAGTATGCAATGTAATATTTTGATGTCTATGTGCGTTGTGAAATGATTACCATTATCAAATTAACTAATATGTACATTGCCAGCTATTTTGTGTATGTGTGCTTATAGTAAAAATATTTAATATCCCTCTTAGTTAATCACAGTTATATTATATAGTATAGTCACCATCTGTACATTAGATTTTTGTCTAAATTCTTAAAGATTATTATAGGACATTGCTTTTAGATATTTCTTACATTCTTACATTTAATACTATTTAATGGCATTTAATATTAATGTGGTATTAATGTATTAAATACCATAAAATTTTCTGGAGGCACTAGTTCAACTATATTCCACAAATATTGATACAGTAAAATTTTCATTATTATTGAATTGAAACATTTTCTAATTTTGCTGGTTTTTTTTCCATTACTGCTGCAATTGTTATAAAACCATGTTCTGAAGCACTATTTCAGTGGTTAAACTTGGACAACATGGACAACTCTGGCAGACATGTATAACAATACTGTTTGGAAGAAATATCTCCTGCATTAGAAATAGTTTGATTTTTCTCCTTGCTATTCCATTCTTTCAGCTACTTTGAAGAACTTGAACTAAATTAAAATATCTAGAAATATGCAAAAATTTTTTTGAGTATCAACTTTAAATTAAAAGGAAATCTTTTTTGGAAGGTGAAATCACCCTGTGCATTTAAAACAAGCATATGTTCTTGGATAAGGGGGAAAGTATGATGGCAATCATGAGTAGTGATTTTTCTCTGAAATGTGTTCAGTAGCCTGCTTATCCTTCCCTGTTTAATGTCAACAATTTCCCAAATTACTATTTTCTCTTTCTCTCTTCTTGTATTTCTTTATTCTTTATGTGAAAGAGGAGTGAGGAAATCATGTACTATTTGAACTCTTTCACATTCTGATCACAATATTCATGTTGGATATTAATAAGCTTCCATCAATTCTGTTCTAGTCCCCTCAATTCTTTTTCCACTGATTTGAGTACCTTTCTCTCTTGCCTTTCTTTATAATAGAGATGTGATATGATGGTATGATAGTAAATGTATACATATATTTATGTCCATTATTGATTCTTGAGGTAGAAATCCTAAAAGTATTTTAGATATAGGTGTTAGGAAAATATTTTGTTCTAACACTCAGGGCTTCTAACTCAGGGCTCCTAAGATCTATGTTACTTCCCGAATGACAGAAACTTCTGAAAAGCAGCTCTGAATTCTTGAGTTGTAAGAACACCTTTTGTCTGTTGAGGTGACCCCATACACACCATGTACTAGGAATTGATCGCAGGGTCTTTGCACTGAGCTACATCCACAGACCATTTTAAAATTTTTACTTTTGACATAAGGTTTCACTAAACAACTAAGCTGCCAAAGCGGGGCTCTAACTTGTGATTATTGTGCCTCAGTCTTCCATAGTTTTGGTTTACAGGCGTCCAACTCTCTCTAGACTTGCAATACTTTTTTGTTTAGGGCTGCTTACAAGGAAAACCAGTGATATGATACAGATTTTAGCTTCATCTCTTTGCAACAAAAGAAGGGAGAAGGACTGAAGACTGAGATGATCCCTAAACAATTGACCAATTGCTTAATTAATCCTGCCTTCATAATGATGCCTCTGTGAAAACCTAGATAGGCTTCAGGGAGCGTCCAGGTGGCTGGACATGTTGGGGTGCCTGGCAGATCCCATGCCTGCAGAGGTCATAGAAGCTCTGTGTTTTTCCCACATGTACACACCTCTTCCATCTGGGTGTTCATTTGCATATCTTGTGATAACTTTTATAGTAAATGAGTAAACATAAATAGTGTATTTCCCTTAGTTCTGTGGGCCTCAAAACTTAAGAAGTTCAGAAGCATCCTTATTTTAACTTGTTGGTCAAAAGCACATATCACCCTATGTAACTTATGCCTGGCATCTGACATTGGGGCAGTCTGTGAGATTAACTTTAACCTGTGACATCTTGTGTGCCAACACTAAGTAGTGTCACAATGGAATTAAATTGTATGGTATCCAGTTGTTTTCTGGGAAAAATATCCATGCATTTTGGATTAAGTATTCTGTGTTATATTGTGTGTGAGAGAGTAATATAGTATGTTTCTTTCCTCAAGAGCTTTTAGTGTCTATTTCTAATGTCTTAGATACTTTACTCATTGCTGAGACTTGAAGCTTAAAGGCAGAGAGGTTTATTTTGGCTTATGTTTGCAGTCCATAGTCAGCTGGCTCCAAGGGAAGCAGGCCAAGGAGGAAGGCAAAAAAAAGTAGCGCCCATCATGATGGACAGGAAACAGAAATAAGGGAGAGAGACAGTAGAGAGATAGACCCTTCCAGGTTACACTCCAGTGACCTGCCTTTGCTAACCTGGCCCAACTCTTAATAACACACTCAGCTACAAACTCATCCATGGGCTGATTCAGGAAAGTGTACAGTGCCTAGATGCTCTAGTCACTTCCAAAACCTCTGCTTCTGAGTGCATGAGACTTTGGAGTGACATTTGAACTCAAACCATGACATCTTTCTTAATTCTTTTATTTATTCTAATCTTTTTAAGTATTATTTTCATTAACTTTAAATTGCATATATCATGGAGCACATAGAATTAAAATATGTTGAGTAACATTAATGGACATATCTTCTCATATTTTCACCATCATTTCCTTGTACTCTTAATATCTGGCATACTTAGCTATTAAGTTAAATGTTCTATACACATTCTATATTAAGTTCAGTAAATATTCTATGAAATTACAGATGATGACAAGACTATTAAATTGCAAATTATCCCTGAGAGTTGTGACCTATATGTCAGTTGCTTATTTTCCATTGTTTTATAGGTCCATTCAGAGAAGAACAGAAATGTACATATCGATCATCAGTACAAGGCTTCATCTGCAAACAGACTGATCAAGTGGTCCTAACTCTTAATAGTGTCAACGTCACCTGGCCAATTCAGAAGTTACATCCAGTTGTATCAGTTACTAGAGGTTTTGTTGATACATTTAGTAGTATAAATGATAATACTCTTTGCTCTACCTCTGGCTCTGTGTCTACCTTTTATTCCATTTTACCTACCAGGCAAATTACCAGGGTGTGCTTTGTTGATCAGACTCCTCAAGTTTTGCGTTTTAGTCTATTAGGGAACAAAAGTACCTCCAAGCTTCTCTTAGCTATATTCTACCATGAAATCCAGAGCCCCCGTGTTTTCTTAGGTGGAAGTTTTATTCCACCTACTTTCGTGCAGTCAGCCTCATCATTGTTGGATGAATCTATTGGTGTCAACCATTTCAGCATTGCAGATAACCTCTTGTATGTTGTTCTACAAGGAGAGGAAACCATTGAAATACGCACAGACCTTTCTCTTCATTTGGCCTTCTCTGTGACATTTTCAGTCCTGGAAAAAGGCTGGGAAGTTATGATACTTGAAAAACTAACTAACTTCTTACAGATTGACCAAAGCCAAATCAGAGTTACTCATGAGATGCCTGGCAATGAAAGAACTCTAAAGGCTTTTGCTGACAGTAAAGCAAAGAGAAAACGCAATTGTCCAACCGTGACTTGTGCCAGTCATTACAGAAGAGTTGGTCAACGGAGACCTCTCATGATGGAAATGAGCTCCTCTAGGGTCTTCCCACAAACCACAGTGGAAACTATCTCAAAACTGATTGTCATTGAAATTGGTGACCTGCCAGCATCAAAGAAGACTAGACAAATTTCATGTTTATCAAGTTACAAATTACAGAATTTGGCTCACCAAGTCATCACTGCTCAACAGACAGGAGTACTAGAGAATGTTCTGAACATAAGTATTGGTGCCCTACTGGTTACCCAGTCAAAGGGAGTCATGGGCTATATGTAAGTACCACTTCTTATAACATCAGAGTGAGGATTAATATCTTGAGTTCATACTAGCATATATTACAAATGTCAACCATCTTTCAGTGAATCACATATCCTTAAGATTGTTAAGAATTAAAACTCAAAACTATTTCAATATGTATGCTAATTTGTTTCATTTATACTTAGTTTCTCTTAGTTCACTGGAAAGTTTTGTGTTATTGTTTCTTCTTTGTAAGAATCTTTTTGGTTTATGTCTTATACCCTGAGTAACTACTTTAAAGATAACAATACACAGTACAGTAACTATTGTTATTCTCTTACTATTTGGTTATAGTTGTTTTATTTTTTCATTAAATAAAAAACTCAAAAAGCCACTTCAAGATAAACTCTTAGTTTTAAATTCAAGTTAAATCTCTTATTTGTGATTATTTTATTATTCAAATGTTGGAAGACATAATCAATGGTAAGTTATAGCAAGAATATATACAGAAGAGATTTTTCTGAAAGAATTTGCTTTTAGTTTATTTGTTCATTCATTTATTCACATTGAATTTAATGGGCTAGGTTTTGATTTTATTAAGGTAGAAAACATATATGGTTCTTTTTGGAAATTCACTTTATTTGTTGTATTGCTAATAAATAATTAACATTTAATGAGTAGTAATTACTTCACAACTACCTCCAATAGATGTGAGATTTATTAGAACTGCAATAAAAAGCAAGCCCCTTTACACTTGGAAGGATATTCGTTTAATATATTCATTGACTTGTATGCACAGAACGTATGCAAGTGAAAGTTTAGTGTTTGTGTACAATATTCTTCCTTTCTTTACAATGGATATAAACTTTCTGTTTCCCTATATATATTGTACATATGAGAGAGTAAAAGAGAACTCCAGCCAATTTTGGTAGATTTGGTTGATTTGAAGGGCTTTGTAAACTGTTAACTTGGCATTAAAAAGTATTTACAGTTCATGATTGCTCATAATCTATGAAAGCTTTATTATATTGTCAACCACCAATTTTCACCTTATTAATGATATTATTATATTATACATGCTAATATGTTAGGAATCTGAAAAATTTATGTTAATGCATTTATGTTTTAATTTTTTTCTTTCATTTTAATTTTACTAAATTTTCTCTTTATTCTTATAGAGAAAAACTTTAGCCTATATCTCAATTTTAATTAAATTTATGATATGGAGCTTTCTTTGTAGATATTTTTTCCACTGTGACAAATTTTGTTCATTACATATAAAACTATGCAGTTCTTAACTAAAGGGAGAGAAAGGCATTAAGTGGAAAGGTACATTAGAGAAAAATCTGCAAAGTGGATCAGGCACAAGTTAGATACATATACACGTATAAGTGAGACATTTATTTTGTCATGAAGAAATGAAAAAGCTTCAAGGAAAAGATCACCTTTATCACTCAAAATCAGTCATAGTCATTGTGTTTTGACTTTGAACTGTTATTTTGGATTTAATAAGAAACTGCTTGATCTGTGCATTATAACATCGACTTTGTTGATATATGTTATATTCTCCATCTCTCTCTGTTTCTCTAGAGTCTTAAGAGAGATTTTCTAGATAGAAGATAAAGAGGAAATCCTCTAAAGATAAAGAGAGACCACTTCTTAAGCATATGTGGACAAATATCTGCAGAATGAGCAATACTGTCCTTGGAATGAATGAGAATTAGCGAGTTGTCCCATTTTCCTAAGAGTTGCACAGTATGGGATTTGTAGGCCAAAGGCCAACTTTGATTATTATCAATCTAGAATTCCATTGAATTCACTGCAGAGCCATTGACAAGCTAATGAATTGACCTTGAGATAGCAGAAGTGAGTCTAGGGACAGTCCTTTCAGGAAGAGCATCAAGAATACCTGGATATTCTCCACAGGTTCAGTCTTTAATTTCATGGGGTTGAATGCATTTCAATAAGTGGACATTTCCATTACCAGGAGGATATCATTTTACTTTTTGGAGAAGCTATAATGGGAGGAGGTAGAGTTGCCATCTCCTTTTTAAACTGATAGCCTGTAGTGAATTTCTCTCTTCTGTTATCATCCTCTACAGGCATCTGGATTTAAGCTTCCTCTATTTAGATCTGTCAGATCCATGGACCTGTTTTTCAAAATAGTGCTGACCTCTACTGTCATTTATTGTCCCTCACTTGTCTTTTTTATTCCTTTGGACTTACACAGTCTTTACTGATTTTTGTTCTTTAGGTAATTGCAGTGGAGTTTTTTAAGGAAGGGGAGATAAACATGTTCTAAATCTTTCCTTTATATGCCAGAGATTCTCCACCAGCATCTCGTTTGCAAACACTTACATGGTCTGGAATCCTGGTAGCACCCTGAATGGGTCTGGGTGTGCATTCTTCCTGATGGCCTCTTCATAAGCACTGGGCACAGCCAAGCCTGTCTAGCCCCTGATTCCCCTCTTGGGAGATAATCTATGAGTGTAATTCTGAGACACTAACTTTGTGTTAATCTGTTTTTTGCATGAAAATACTAATCCTTTACATCATATAAAGCTCTTTGGGACATTGCCATGAACCTTAGAACCTGAAAACTTTTTAGTAAGGGAGGATGTGAAAATGCAGGTGTGTGTGTGTGTGTGTGTGTGTGTGTGTGTGTGTGTGTGAGAGAGAGAGAGAGAGAGAGAGAGAGAGAGAGAGAGAGAGAGAGAGAGGTTTGTTTTTAAATTACTGTGCATAAGCAGCACACAACCAAAAAGAAAACCAGAAGAACCCATAGATGATGGATAGAAAACTTAATGAGCACTTTGCTTTCTGCAAACTTCATATTGTTGAGACACCTGCTTTCTAGGAAACACCTGTTTAAAGTGTGGGGGTAGAGACTTTATGACAATATAAGATGATAATCTTTTCAAGCCTGGCAGAATGTTCATTTTAAAAGATGTTCCTGTGTTATTAGCCTGACTTCCCTTTTCCATGACAACACCACAAATTTTTCCAATAAAGTCTGCTTTGGTGTCAATTCTTCCTTTCACTTGTGTACAAATCCACTAATCTGTTGAGTCAAGAGTATGGAGAAAAATTATTTTAATAATATTTTGTATATTTAGATTTGTGGGAAAATGATATGCATTGCATAAGCAAGCATTCTATACAACTACTAGTGGTTCTTTTTAATTATTAGCATTTTTATAAGTCTTGGACTAAAACTTAAAGAAAAAAGACAGATTACATAACATCTAGTCTTATTCAAAGGAATGTAACACAGAACATTCACATTTTTATTGATGATTCACGATCGTCATTAAAACTATCATTTATTTCATAGCCCTATTTCTGTAGTAAAGCCCTTAGGGACACTTGTTCTTATACTTTACAGTCTCAGACCAATACATCTTTGATTCTTGCTCTGTAGTTGTATCTTTCTGCTGTTTTCTTCATGAACACAATATTAGTTCTAAAGTTTTGATGCTGATTCAGTGTCTGCATCTAGTAGGTCCCTGTCTTCATGTGCATGAGGTTCTAATTCCAAACTCAAATGACATTATTCTAAAATCAAAGGAACTAATATTTATATGTATATATAGTGAAATCCTAGATAAATATAATACATCAATGAAAGGCTATATTTCAGTGCTTTTTGTTCTCCAAACATTTGAATTGCTACAATGTTCAAAAAATTTATTTGGTTCCCATGAAAATCTAAACACTTTAAAATTAGTGAGTATGTAAAATAAAATTTATTGTAGTACTTAAGGAGAATATGTAATATTAAATCTATTAGTCTAGTTTTTCATAAAAGTAATGACCATATTTTAACTTACTAATATTATATAGTAAAAATGTCAACCTACTATTGTATTCATAAATGTAAATGTACACAGTTTCATTCACAATAAGTGATCACTTAATATTTTACCAAGTAGGGAAATAAAGACTTATTTCCCTTCTCTGCTGTTCTAATTGTTGTATGCAAGCAAAATTTTGTGTTTAGTCTTTTTCATTAGAAAGACCTTGAGTGGCTTTTATTTATTTTTCTTGCTCAACTAAGCTTGCGATAGCTTCCATAAAAAAGAAGGAATTTTGAATGATTGTGTGGAATCTTTAAAAATGTCATCAAAGTTTCCATTCTACTGGATAAAATATTTATACTATATTTATTATAATGTATTAGAAATCATTTATCAATAAAAATATTTAATTTTTGTTCTCTGAATTTTTACTTCTCTAATTGACTTTTTCATAATGTGTACTACATTTATTTGTGTTTATATACTCCTACATCTAGGGTTAGTCAAAACTTGTTTTGAAATGATACTTTCAGGGAATTCCAAGAATATAACCTTAAGTATTATAATAAAGCTGTAAGAATAGGAATTAAGGGGTGTACCAGATCTTGAGGTTGGTTAGGATAAGATGTGTGATAGATTTTAGAAGCAATTAGTGACCTAAGATCAGAGGAAGTACACAATGGGTACTGAGTTGGCAAAGTGTTACATTTATGGAATGCTTAAAATGCACCAGGCTTGGAATCACTAAGCCACAGTGGTGGAAGGAAAATGCTAAGGTGTACATTTCCTCCATCCTAGGGAACCTGTCTTGGATTAATGGGAACATAAGGGTGATGAACTGTAAGTAAGTTGGTGTACATCAACTCCGAAAGATAACCAAGAAAGTCACTCTTGTCTTACAAACTATAGAGAAGAATATTCCTGAGGGACAGAGGTCATATGGTATTATTTATCTTTGTATATTTTATGGTGCCTTGAACAATGTTTGTATAATAGGAGAGGTAACCTAGGTTTGTCAGATGGAATTGACTAGAGAAGTTACTTTTTCTCCCAGGGTATAGAATCATTCAAAGTCCTTTAAAATCTAAGTCCCCTTATGGTATGTGCAGACTCTGCTGCCTTATCTAGCCAATATAAAACAAGAGAGGCCCAAAATCCAGAGACCCTGGAGCATCTAATCAAAACCTGAGGTTCTTTTATGGGTACCTGGCTAGTAGCTGTGAGAAAGAGAAGGTTTAAGAGTGAATATCTCCAATCCTCAACTCCACTGTCATTCCAGGACAGTGGATTTTGCAGAGAGCCATTTCCCATTCATAGGATTTATTTGTTTTCTATGTTTGATATGCAAATAGAAACAATCATATCCTCCATAGATCAGGCAGATTTAAAAATAGGAATGAATAGTAGTGATGTCAGGACTGCGAAATTCTGTATTCTCTATATTCTGTTGCTGTTAGTATGCTCTTAAACACTGGAGGGGAAAAAAGAATTCTTTCACATACGTTACTGGATACTAGAAGCTGTTAAACAGTGGTTAAAACTGGAAGAGATGGAGGAAACTTTCCTCCCCCATTTTTTAAAGTTTGGCTGTAGGTCCTTGTGCCTGCAGGCTATAGTCACATTAGCACTTGGAAATTGGATAACGACAGCACAATGACAAATCCAGGTTGCTTGCAATAAGTTGCTAATCCTTTTGCTTTAATATTGGAGCAGCGTGTAATGATGTTTGGACATCACTCCAGTTTACTGACGACCCCACTGGGGCCAGCAATAGAACCTTACAACTGTCTAACAAGGTGTCAGGTGACTCCCGTCGTCACAGCAACGGACACTGGAATCTAATCTTCCCTCCATCCCTTCTAGCACCCAATAACGCCTAGATTATATAAGTGGCCCATCATTGCTTGGTAACTTGAATCAATTAACGTTAATTCGCACAATGCTATGATGTATTGTGATCACTTTCATTTCAGGGAAGGGGGAGAAATTGCTATAAGTCACCTAAAATGAGGTTGTCTGTGGTGCTGAGGTATTAATTGGGTGTCCATATTAAATGCAAAAGGAGCCCCATTGTGAAAGAAAAGTGGATGAGTGACTCTCTTGGCTGCTATTGACCTATCAGAAGAAGACAGTGCCCTTTTCCTTTGCTTTTATCTATTACAGTTTTCCCTATTGCGTGTCAAGTTGATGTATTATAAAAAATTCATTTGGTGACCTTTCACCCCCTGAGCAGATTAAACAATTTCACTTCGATGGCATCATTAACAGGACCCTGCATTTAATGATGATTTCTCTAAAAGGCCACGGAGATTCGATTTTAAGCTAACAGATTTATTGCACTATTATAACATATCGTAAAAAACTGTACCACCTACGGTCAGGTTTTAGGATAGAAACTGCTTAAGAGTTTATGTGGAGCTTAAAGTGGTATTACCTTGGGATATGCTGCAGCAGCAAGTCCCTGACCTCCAGTGAGACGCTGTTTACATTTAATAAGAGCTGTTTGCTCACAATAAACTTTAAAGTGTGTCAGGGATGGGCCTTTCTGTGGATGTTCTGGCAGTTGTTTCCCATCCTTTTGTCTTAGACAGCAGTGTACTTATGTCAGAATCTTTAATGGGTATTTCAGTTTCTTTAACCTAAGCTGCCTGCCTGTACCCAGCACTCATCAGAAAACACTTAAGGACTAGGTTAGGAGAGAAATAGGATCTGGTAATGATTTAAAAAATTTCCAATAACCTGGGACCCATCGAAGGATAGAATTAATAGCATAGATTTTAAAAATCTGGTTTAAATTGTTCCCATTACAAAAGGAAAAGAACCAAGACCTCTCAGGCTAAATAAACTAATGTGATGATTGGGCTCGTGTGCACTGAACTCCCAGGGAGTGAGTGTAGAGGGAGCCTGAGGTATTGGCTGGTGGAAAAAAGGCTGCTCAGGGCCACATGTACCCACTCTGCCTGTACTTCCAAGGGTTCACAGGGCAGAGTGAATTGCTTCCTATAGAAACTTCATGTTCTTGGGTCCATTATATCTGCTTTTCCACTAGTATTTGTGTCAGGTTAATCATCACCTTTATCTGACATGATCTTCTCATGATGAATAAATACTTTATCCCTTCCTGCCCACATGTGGGAGGGAAAATTTGGATAACAGAATAGTGTTTCATAAATATTTAATGGCAGAGCAGAATAGCCTACATTTTAAAAATAAAAGCCTTTTTTAGAACCAGCCTAGGCTATTTTAAAGGATACCTCATTAAAGTATGATCTATGTTAGGGTAACATATATATGACATGTGATAGCTACATGTTTATAGACATTTAATAGCCAAATATCTGTTGCATGACTATAATGTGTACTACACAGGCAGCTTAATTAAACAGTAAGTGTGTTCAGTCATCCAGCATACCAAAAATGCATAAAGGTGTCATGAATCATATAACTATTTATTGCTTAGTAACATCAGCAATTAGTATACACAAACAAGGTGAGAAGCACTACAGTGCATTAGTGAGCTACTCAAGATTTTGGTTAGCAATTATTATCGTTAAGATCTTTGACAAGTTACTTAAGCCTTTTGGATTTATTCCTCATATACAAAGGAGCACTAACTTCACGGTGTCAATTTAAAGATGCAATGAATCTTCATCGAGAGTTTATAATAATACCTGGCACATAGTATTGCCCTGTGAATATCCATTCTAAACTTTATTCTTCCTAAGTGCTTCTTGAACTTAAAATCAGTCAACCAACCAACCAATCAATCAGTTCAGTAGCTCTACTTAATGTACACATAACTGGAAAATATGAAATCATGGTTGCCAGGATTATATGGGTACAATTGTAGTATTGTAGAGTTTTCCTCTGGTCATCTTCACAGCTCTGTGTGGTAACTTTAGCTCCGTATCTTGGAATTAGTGGTGATGGGAGAGTACTTATGCTACAGAAACTACAACATGCTACAAATCAAGGTATTTTCTGGAAGAGGTGGTTTACCAGCCTACTATTGAACAAACTCCTGACCTTTAAATATCTTACTCTGATTATTTGTTTTACTGAGGATTTTTAGACTGATCTTAATGTGTAATGTAAAAATGTAAGTTCATAATTTGTGCTCCTTCCTCATCAGGCCCAGTACATGTTTTATTATGACAAAGCAAGTATATAAAATAAGTATATTCATTAAATATCAATATATAATGATTCACTGTACAGTATATTGTTGTTTCTAGAAGCATAAAGAATTATAAATATTTTCACAGTCAATAATGTCTTATGGAAAATAGCTATTGCAAAAGTATTTGTAATTCCAAACATACATTCTATTTGTTTTTATATTTTCAGAAATGCAAGCAGTTTCAAAGATAGAAGCTTAATATATGCTCGGCCATATGCTCTTTTCGTCCTGGTCCAGCCTTCAGATGGAGAAGTGGGTAAAGAGCTTCCAGTGCAGCCACGGCTCATCTTTCTGGACAAACAGGTAACTTCTCATAGGTGATGATCTTTTTTCAGCATAGGCTTAGGTTTCCTCATCACTGATATGCAATCACAGAGCGAACACTATGTGAAAATTGCTTCTTTCACTATATTTGTCACTTTTCTTTCCTGTCACATTCTAATTTCCATGTTCTATGAATCCTTCACAATCTTATCAAGGATAAAAAAGAAAGTGCTGATATCTTTTCTCCCTGAGCAAATTCTTAAATTACGTCTCTGTGTGTTTTCTGAAAGTGAACTTTTTCAAAGAAGCATGTCCATAACTGAAGAAGTCTTCACACCTGGTATGATTTATATATACAGTTTATGTTTAAAAAAATTTTTGTAATAAAAGACTTTATCATTAACTTACCCCCAAACACTCCCTTTTGCTTAACACACAATTATCCCACTATACTTGCACTTTTTGTTTATTTGAGACGGGTTTGTGCTAGGTAGTTCAGGCTGGCCTTGACCTCACAGTGATCCTGCTGACTTAACCTCCTGAGTGATGGGTTTTCAGGTATATGCCACCATGCCTGGTTCCTACCACTTTCTGAAGCATTTCTGGAAGTATTTTTTTTTATGTCTTTAAGAGATGTGATCAAACATATGATGAATACAAGACCTTAAAAACATTATGTTGTATCTTTAACTGCCTTATTCACCAGATTTGGCACTGTGAGATTCCTTACTCTTGCTCAATGTCAAAAAATAAATGTTTTAGATTGACCTTGAGGCGAGCACTACAGCTCAGCTAAAGCCCTAGAAACCCATTGAGTTTGCTCCTGTTTTGTATTTCTCCAACTGGCTTCTGCTTGTCTCTCTGTCTTTCTGTCTCTCTACCTGTGTCTTTATCTCTTCTCCACTTTTCTCTCTCTATCTCTCTCTAAACTGAACCCTGGGCCTTCAATACTAAACCTAGTTCCCAGGACTTTTCTTATTTGGAGAGTGTGGGGACTACATTGGAATCTTCCTAACTCAGCCTTCAGAGTGCTAGGATTATAGGTGTACACCACCAAGCCTAGATGCTTCTACTTCTTCTGACTTTCCTTGTTAATTTTCAATGTAATGTCATCGTGCTTTTTCATATACAGCTTTCATTTCTCCTCTTCGGTGCTCTGTCTTAAATTGCCTTGCAATAATTTTTTTTTCTTTTATTTTAACGAGCTATATTCTTAACATGAGAAAAATGCCATTTTATCTTAGTTATGTGTTTTATAAATGTTTTGGTTTAAATACTGTTCTTTTTTATATAACTTCACAAAATACTCCTTTGTATCCAACTCTTTGTTTCTCATTCCCTCCCCTATTTCCAGTATCAAAGAGTGGAGTCCTTGGGGTCCCCCTCAGAGCCATGGACCATTTCAGTTTTCCTGGAAGGGACATCAGATTCAGTGCTAAGAGGTCAGTATCTGAGACTTTCAGGCACTATTACTACATTGCACAGAACATTTACGTTTGTTTTTGTCTATTTTTGTTACTATCACAAAATATCTGACACTGGACAACTTTGTATAAAAAGAGGTGTATTTAGTTTTCAAGGGCCACATCTGAGCATGACCTTCCTGGTAGCTGAGTCCTGCACAGCACAGAACATCACACCTGGTGTGACGCAAGAGTATATGTGTGTATATTTCTGTCTGGACCCCAAGACATTTCACCCTGGTGACTTCATGTCCTCCTTATCATCTCCCAAGGTCCCTCCTCTACATGCCATAGCCAGATTAAGTTTCGGTACTCTTAATATTTCACAAAGGTTGTTAGTGTCTGACCCAGAGAGAAACAAGCAGATATAACATAGCTTTTGTGGAGAAATACTTCCTCTGTTTTTAAATTCTTGACCCTATGGCCCACAAAATATCTCTGCCATCCAGCCTGCTGCAAGAGCTGAGAAAGCACTTGCAGGTGGGTCCCAGTGGCTTGTCACAACTTAGAGTCCTCGAGGATTTGCTCTGTTGCTACGTATTTTGACTTCAGAATTACAAAGTATACATTCTTTTATTATGAAACAGTTCAATTATTACATTTTTAATGTTTTAAACAGTATGAAATACAGCACAAAGAAACACATAAAAGTAAGTGTGACTTGGCAGCTGGGTCTAATTGAAGTGAGTCTGTTTATAAGAATGATTTAAGGCAAATGCAAAAAATTTTCAGGCTTATATTTTTTATAATTGTATTCCAGTTAGTTAGAAGAGGTTCCTGTCCTCTTACCTGCTTCCCTTCAACCTAGCCCCAAATTATTAATCACTTTTCTCACAAGGAGTATTCTCTATTATGTGGAGTTCAGGGATGTAGCTTCCAACGCATACTCTTGACTGAGAACCTTAAATTTTCTCTGTGCACCAGAATTTCCTCTCTGAACACAGGAATTTCATCTCTGAACAAGGAGTCTCAAGATTTTTCCTAAATGAAAGTGTAATTATGAGCTTTATTTCTATTTGTGCAATCTATTTGTTTCTTTCTTTCCAGGACACACCCTAAAATACACATTACTGGGTCTCTCTGCAGATTATTTAATCCATCTCTTGGGCCAAGTCTTGGAAATCTGTGTTTCCTATCTGTTTTCTAGACGTGCATGATCATGATTCAATTCTCAGGAGTTACCCTGAAGTGAAAAGAATTTCATTTTACGTCAAATTAATCTAATTAAGAATGAGACAATTCAATGGAATAGTCTAAAATCATTCCATATACTTAAATAGAAAGTCATAGATTTTTAAAAGTGTGAAAAAGTGAGCCTGTGAAATTCATTTAATATTCTAACTAGTCACAGTGTGTAAATTAATAAAATATTCTATAAACTTAAACTAAGTGAAGTTTTAAGGTAGGTCATAGAAAATATTAAAAAAAAACCCATTCACCTTCATCCCCACAGATTCTAGCCTAGGTCACCTTTCTCCAAAAAGTCTTTTTTAGGGTAATAAAATTAAAGGCATAAAAACAATGAATTTAGTTTTTGTCTTTCTGAATTTAGATTTGTTGGGTAATTTTGACAAAGAGCTAGGACCCAAGCAAATCTCTGAATTACAGATTTGTATTCTTGTTTTAGATTAGCTTAGTTGTTGTTTGCATACGATAAATGTGCCAAAACATACATATTAAAGAGATACCTGACAGTAATATTAAAATAACAAGAAAGGAATAAAAATAGTCATTTGTAAAGTTCCACTATACTTACATAGGAGAACAAGCAGAGAATCTTGTCAGTTCTTGGAAATCATTCTTTTTGAAAATATGGTTTCAAGGAGTGGCTGTCTAGGTAGCAGTACAGACATGGTAGTGATGTCTACCCTTTGAGATTTGACAGTGACATGTCAAGAGGAGATTTTGTACTGATTAATCACAGTAATTTTAAACTGCCCTTTTATGTGTACATCTTTTTATAATTTTTTGAACAAATATCTTTATCTTTGTACAAATTTGAGGCCAATAACTCTTTAAAGATTGTCTTCTCATATTTCTTACATACTTCATGGGACCAGCTAGTGTGTGTCTGTTGATTTTATTTTCTGGAATGTTTTGTTTCCAGACTTAGGGATGATTTCTGTGTCACTTCATATATCAACCTGTTTACAAAACTGCTCATTTTCAAGAAGAGGAATCATTTATTTCTCTATCCTAGCTATACGTCTATGATCATTCATATGGTTTTCCAGCATATTATGTCCTAAACTAAAAAAAATAAGTCAACCATAAACATGCCAAATCTTATCTCTTCTGCTGTGTTTTTTTTTTTTTACTTAAATCTCTATAATCTGGTTCATAATACCTACCTATTGTGAAGATATTTTTCCTTCACTTTTTACTTTTTGTGTCTGAGAAAGAAAGGCATGAAATTATGATGGTTAAATTTCCAGGTTAATCAAGCTTTATAACTTGTTCTGAGATCCTGGGTTTTTAGTGTCCCCATTTTATTTAGCTCATGCCTTTTGTTTTTGCAAGGCAATCGCTCATCAACTGCAAGGAACAGAACTGTCCTAAAAACTCTCTAGTGGAGGTAATTGAAATTTGTGATTAAACATTTCATAGTTTCAAAACCTTTACTGCTTAAACCTTGTTTTCTTGTTAGAGTTACAAATTTTCCAACCATTTCTTTTCAGATTGCCTTTCAATTATTTTGGCTATAAATTTCCTGCTTCATCTACTTACTTATCAAGAGATCAAATCTTTTTTACCTGTTCACAGAAACAATTTGCTTCCAAATTTCCAAAATCTCTTTTCTCCCCTTGGCACCCTCCCTACTTGCTCTATGTACAATTCAGTTTTATAAGCACAGATAATACTGGGTGTTTTGAGAGAATTTTCTCATAGGCTTTCCAATGTTCTTTTTGCTCACTTTGTTAAAAAATAAAACAACCATATTGCTGACTCTTGTTTTTCTCTTAGTCATTTCTTTGCCCAAGCAACAAAGTCAAAACTCCTTAAGCTTAAAATTTCAAGGAAAAGGGGCATCAAAATGTTCCATATGCAAATTTTCAAGCAAGCTACCTCATTAAGATAGTAAGGTAATAAACAATGTTATCTAAAGTTGGATGGTGTGAAAAGTGCGCACTCAAAGCTGCATTAGAAGGTAGTTTTGAACTTCCTGCTGTGATGCCGCCTTTCTGCTTGCAGTTCAAGTGCAGTGTTGTTGCTTTTGGTATTTCAGCACTGAAAATGACTGGTATACAATACTGACTCACCTTTTGATCTTAATACAGCAGTATTAAAAATAGTAATTTCTACGCTGGGTTCATTAGTACGTGCTTGTAATCTCAACACTCTACTGAGCAGAGCCTACCTGTTAAAAGACGTACAGCTCTGAACTCATAAGTACATTATTCCACTGTTGAGTGTAGTATCCCATGACCCAATCACTGTCCTAAAGCCCCACCTCTGAACATAGGAGCCTTCTGATGGGCACTTTAGACCTAAACCATAACAGTATGTCATATTCCATACCTAAGTAATACTTTCGTACCTTACCGTATGTCACACCATGACCTCACTCTGTTCTCTACTCATAGTCCTCCATGCTCCATACCTTCTCCTGCCTCACACACCACCACGTCCAGTGCCTTAGCCACGCCCTGTACCTTCCCTTATACCGTACCTCACTCAGAGTCCGTATTTTGCCCCGCTCCTGACACTCATTCACTCCATCCCTTGCTAGTGTCCCCATGCTAAGGATGTTCTGACTCTCCGGGTTGGACTCATACTGTGGCCATTGAAAACCAATAAGGCTTGAGAGTTTGCTGTTTTATTCTACTGATATCAAGCCACATTAAGACCAACAGACGAGCATGGATCAGTATTATAATTGTTTTCATTTTCAAAACATCTCATGAAATGTTATGAAGAAGAGGTTGAGAGTTTTTTCTATATATTACTCTGTGTGTGTGTGTGTGTGTGTGTGTGTGTGTGTGTGTGTGTGTGTGTAGGTGTGATGAGTTAAGGAAGAAATGGTATACTTTTCTGTTTTTAGAAGGTTCATCTTACTCAATGCACCCTATTTTTTATTATTGGATGTTTCTCTGAAAGTCATAATGAAGTACTTCTCTTTAACTTCAGAAAAAATAGTACCAAAACCACTTGGGATAGACTATCTAACTTCTAAGTATTTCCTAGGGAAAAATAAAGTAGCAACTGCAAACTTATATGTATATGTGCATCTAAATCTTTTATTCTGAAATTGAATTTCATGTTCTTTTTTCATAATAGACCTTGCTCAATGAAAAAGATACTTGTTATAAAAAAGGGGGGAGGATTTAAATACTCAAAGAAAACTATTTAGGCACCTTCCAGATCCCTTGATATTATACCTATGGATTATCTTTCTAGAAACAAATTCTCAGTATTTTTAAAGATAATATCTTATGAGAGATGCAACAGCTTGCTAGTAGATATGACAAGGAGTACGTGAATAAATGAGTTGTAGAGGTGACTGAGCGGCAAAGGTTCTTTCAAAGCTATATACTCTGCAGAAACACATTTGAGAAAGTTTTCCTGGTGGCCATGTAATCAATTTCTGTGCGGCTTCCAGCCCAGCACTTTGCCTCATCCCATGTCCCCTGGTCCGTACCTTATTTATACCAGCTTGATCAGGGAGCCTGTCATGGCATTCGTGTATTTTATAATAGCTATTCCAAAGATATGATGAACCCTGGAGTAATGTACTGTACTTGGCAGCAACTGCTTCAGCTTTTGGGCACATATGCTTCAAATCTGAGAATATCATAGATATATATGAGAATCTTTGTGGGGATCTCCAAGGCAAGCTGGTATTTAACGCAAAAATAAACCCATTTGGAGCTAAAGCACTTTCCATTAGGCAGTTTGGCGGCTGTTCTATGAGGCAGACTCACTGTGCTCAACGGACACATTCTGATTAAAAGCTGCTTTGTATTCTTTCAAAGATGGAAACAATAAGGACGTTTGTCAAAGGAAAAACTGCAAGAAACAGTTTCAAGTTGAACATCTGTACTCTGCAGTTCGTTGTTTGCAAGAGTTTATTGACCATAATTTTGATGCATATAGGTTTTAAAGAGTATAAACTACATTTATCTTGGGTGCCTATCATTTATTTGAGTCTCGGCTTATTTATTTCCATTTTTCCTGCTTGCTTTATTTATTTTGGGAGTCTGAAGAGATGAAAGAAAAGATGTTTTCCAAAAAGGAAGTTTTCAGCAGCTCTGCAAAATTGGTGAAGAAAAACATTATTTTTACAAAAAAAGACTGAGCAATTGAATTGAAAAATGTAACACTAAGCATATTATAGCTTTACGATACCTTTTAGCTGTAGAGATCTCAAACCAATTTATAAACTTTAAAACCATTCTCTTAAGTCTTTGTCCACCATAATGATCTCGGTGACATTTCCAGAGTGAAATTTGGTAGCTATTAATTAGCAAGTAATTTAGGGATAGTGGAGTCAAAAGATAATTTATGATATTGGGAATGTGATCCTGAGTTAAGTTGCCTCCTTTCATTTTTATACTGGATGGTTTATTGTTTGAAAATGTAAGCTTTCTTTTTTGCATGTAATTTAGGAAAGCCAAGGCCCAGGAAATACAATTTGCTAAGACAGAGCCATGACATCAGTCATGATTTGCTAATAAATTGTTATCTTGATCTAATGGTCCAACTCTGCTACCACATAAATACAGATTCTCTAAATAAAGAAAGATACTGACCCTTTGAGAGACGATAAAATTACCTTCTTAATAGATACATAATAATAGTCAACATATAGTATTTGTTAAAATACAAACTTTGAAATCAGGCAGATTCGCACTGTAAGTCAAATCCTAGCACTAAGTAATTTAATTATTTTAGTTTATTTCTTAATCTATGGGATATTAATAGCAGTACATGTCACGGGGCTCTTGTCTAGTCATTATACAATGATGTTCACAGTGCACAGGGTCTGGTATGGTGAACTTTCAATGTATGTTAGTGATTATTGTTCTATTTTGAATTATTTGATTCCAGGACTTGTCTAGGAAGAATTTGGTTTGGGTAACCTCTTTTAATTCGTTTTTTTTTTTTTTTTTTTTTTTTTTTTTGGTAAAAGGGGAAAAAACTGCTCACAAGGAAAGAACAGCTGGGATGAGGAGAAGGAGAAAGATGAGAAAAGATTATATATATATATATATATATATATATATATATATATATATATATAACTCATCTTTATTAGTTCACCAAAAAGAATAATTTGTATTTTATCGCTTGATCATTTTTCATGCCTATATCTTATAATGAGTCACTAATTTGAAGATAACAATATATAATATTTTAATCATTGTTAATCTATTATTTTGCTTTAAGATTCTGTATCACCTCTTTAATTTTTAAATATTTTCCTTTAACACTGTTTTCTGTCCTTAGTAAAGACCTGCAAACACTGGTCCTGAGTAAGTAACTGCCGCCTCCCTTTTGTGTTATGCTTGTTTACAGGTTCCACCCAGGCAAAAACACAGGATGGTTATGTGAGCTTCTCCAACTTGGCAGTCTTGATCTCTGGGTCAAACTGGAGCTTTATTTTTACAGTTACATCCCCTCCAGGTAATTTCAGCAGAGATCTGTTTCTTTGGAAAAAGTAATCTGTGCTGTCTGATAATGGGTGCTGTCTAATAAGAGGTCCTCATGACTTAGGAAAATAATTTGCTTGGCTGTATGATAAAGGCATGAGAAGAGAGGACACCTGTAGCAACTACTTCTCAGAAACTCTCAGTGAACAAGAAGTCAAATGTATATTTTCCTCTGATAAAGTTTAGCTTGTGTATTTGACTTATTTTTTCTATGACATTCTCATTCAAGTAGTAATGAGAAAATTTTAATTTATAAGTAAGAGATTTTGGACATTGGGTACCATGTGTCCGGCTCCTGCTCTCATCTTGACCTCCTACCTGGGAAATGGTAGTGATGTGTGTTAACAGCCAGGTAATTTAGAAGCACCCAGAGTTGTGTATAAATTGCTTTGTGAACTAGTTATCCTGAAGTATTAAACTGTCTTTTGTGAAAATATATAATAAGTCTTCACAGACTTATCTAACTCATTAATGAGGGAGATAAGGGAATTGAAAAATTGGAAAAGCATTTGAGGTATAACATCATGAAGTCAGAAATGCTGAAATAAGCTTGTCAAGTTGTACATAAGTCAATAAAGCTATAACTTTGAGGTCACATGTTTTGAGACATGACTTGTGTCTTCACTGGGAAAAAATCAGTTGCAGCTCCTCAATATTATACAAATTGACAGATATGAGCTCTATTAATGATGAATATCATGTGCCTGTAGATTTACCGACTCCCGAGAAGGATGCAGGAAGATCACTTGAGCCCAGGCCTTGGGCAACATATTGAGAATATTCTTTTTAAAACAGGCAAATATTGGGTCAAACAAAATTAGTTAAAATATTTTGATATAAATTGGATTATGTCTGGAACATATAATTCCATGTTCTAGTATGACTTTGATAAGTTCTACCTACATTTGTTTTTTATTTCAAGTTTTGGATCATTTTTCTAAACAAAAGACACTATCTTAGGAGGTTTGTTTAAAATTTCAGTAAAGACACATTGCCATTTATCCTCCCCATCAACTATGCCACCTCCGCTGGAGTACACTTATCCCATTAGTCTTTCCCCTTTTGAAGCAGTTCTCAAGTCCTCTTTCACAAGTATGATCAAAAATATAGTAAATGCTGCCACTAAGTGCCAGTCACTAGAAGAGCAAGCTCGTGAAAACGTCACCATGGGTCATCATCCGCCTTATTCATTCAGTCTGTCAATTGTGCTTTCTGGCTCTTTCCCAAAGTTAAAATGATCATGAAAGATAAATGTTTGGATCAATAATGGACCTCAATAGTTCCATGATGGGGCAACTAAAGACTCAAAATTGCTTCAGAAGTGCTAAGAACAATGGAATGAGTGTCCCTCAAGAAAAGAGAAGTATTTTAAGGGAATTAATAACAAGAGTTTTATTTTATTGTACTGCATTTTTAAAATTTAAGTCAGATGTTTTTCAATCACACCTAAAATTAAGTACTAATCTTGTAAGGGAGATATTCTTTAAAATCTATCAACATATGCAGAATATCCCATAAGTTTATGGAGACACAAATTCAGTGTTTTTGACCACTTAAATTTCAAGGGTTTTTCCATAAGCTTGTGTTTTTGAATAAATATATTTTAAAGGATCACAAATGCAGGCTTGGATGTTTTATCACAAATTTATCTAACATTTAAAAGGTCTTTGTCTTTCAATTTCCTCGGAGGTTAGGTAAGAGTAGCCAAATATTTCATGGTATATTTATTATTTTATAATTCTAAATGTCTATTAATTTTATAAATTAATTTATAGTATGTAGCACTGATCACATTCCCTTTCCCTTTTATAAATAGTCCCACTATACTACTAAATGACCTGAGCAGACACTTCTCAAAAGAACTCCAAGTGATCAATAAATATATTGAAATACTTCTCAATATCATATCCCCTATACCTATGAAGGAAATGCATGTCATCAACGTATTTAAGAATAGATTATGAAACCAAATACAAGACTTCTTGAAGATAAAAACTTCTTTGTACTTTGTGAGATCTTGAGGTAGTCTTGCTGTCCACATTTGGTGGATCTTTTTTTTTAAGTTTCCCCCTATAACATTTCAAGGAGATTAATATATTAGTGAGCTATTTAACAAGATACTAACACTTGCAGTGTCAACAAGACATGTTTATTTTTGCTCACAGTTTCAGAGGATTCAGTCCATAGTCAGCTATCTCCAAGCTGCTCATCACATGGCAGCCATGAAGCAGAGAGAAAATGGTGGGTGGGTAAAAACACATCCTCTGGTCATACTCCAGTAACCCCCTCCTCTGAGCAGGCGCCACCTCCCATGGCACATTCAGCTGTGAACTCATATATTAATTAATTCATTGATCCAATTAACTTCCAAAAGCCCTTGCATGACCACCTGAGATCCTTGGGGGGGATTTTTATGTAAAACATAATAATTAATGGAGGGGTTTTCTTGAAAAAAATTTTTCTATAAATTATTCTTTGTAATGTTCAAGAATAAACTATAATGTAAAGATTTGCAAGAAGACTTTTTGATTTTTTTTTCTTTGTACAGGAGATGAAACTCATGACCTTGTGCTTGCCAGGCAGGCACTTATGCTGCTGAGCTAAATCCCCAGCAAGGTTTTACTATAGTATAAATTTTAAAAAATAGGGAAAAAAAGAAAGATATCAAACAATTTTCACAAAAACCTTTATAGACATCATGTTGATTAATGTTACTGATCCTAAAAGTAACTGCTTATTTCCAAGGATATCAATTTTAATTACTAGAATAGTTTATAACCAAGTACTGATTACTTTTCTTCGAGAAGAGAAAATCACGACTAACTCTATTTGAGTTCTTCAAATGAAAATAGAGATTTGAAATTTGTTCGTTTTGAATGAGCTACTTTTAAAATGCTGACTTAATTAAATCATGTGTATACATAAAGTTTTCTTTTTAACTTTTCTATTGAGACATAGAATATGATACAATATTCACATTCAAAGCATACAGTTGATAAATTTTGAGAGATGTCTACTTCCATGAAACCATTCTCACAATTAAGATAACAAATACACTTACCACACAAGATTATAGGTATGTTTTAAATGGTTTTATTTTTATATGGCAATACTGACCATTTAGGCATGTAGCATTGTGAATTAAAATACATATGTAGATCTATGCAACCACCACCATGCAATCAGGAATGTATTATTTTAATCAACCATAAAAATCTCCCTCATACTTTTCCTCTGTCCTAACATTCTTTTCTCCTTTCTACCCTCTGGAAACTAGCAGTCATTTCATCATCTCTATAGTCTAATATTTTTTAAAATTTTATGCAAATAAAATTATATACTGTCTACCTTTTAGAAATAGGCTGGGATTTCTTTTGTCCAATATAATGCACTTGATATTCATCTTGGTTGTTATATGTTGTTATAATGTTTTCTTTATCTATTTGTTTGATTTCCTTTCCCTTCCCTTCCCCTCCACTCCCCTCCCTTACCTTTCTCTCTCTCTCTCTCTCTTTTTTTTTTTTTTTTATCGGTACCAGGGATTGAACTCACGACCGCCTGCTTGCAAGGCAGGTGCTTATGCTGCTGAGCTAAATCCCCAGCCCCACCTTTCTCTTTTTTCCCTTTACCTTCCCTCTCTTCCTTTCCCCTCCCTTCCCTTCTCCTCTTTCTTTCTCTCCATCACTTTCTCAACAGGAAGTTCTTCATCTTGCTCTTTCCTTTGTAATGAAAAATATCTATATGATATTCTACTCTATTTTACTGTATTTTGCAGTCTTCTTCCCCTATTTTGACATATGATACGCTATATTTTAAGTAAGCACATATTAGAGCATGTACTTTCATATGTCCTGGAGCTAAGAGCATTTTCTTCTAATTAGTAGAACACAGGAATGAATGCAACTCCAACTTTACACTGGTGGAAAAGGCATATTTATGAGTAAAATGAGACAATTGGAGGAATTTCCCATTAGTAATGAACTAAATTGTTATGAATGATTATGAGTTGTTGAGATCTTATAGTTTTTCAGAAATATAAAACTTGGGTCTGTTATTATATCATTTATTTAACCACTTAATCAATCCAGTAAAAATTTGAGTACCTCAGATGTGGCAGGCACTATCATAATCATGTCTTTTCTATAATGTTTTTATTGTATTGACAACTTACTGTATTATTGGAACTTCTCAATAAACAGGAGCCAATTTTACAGCTCGGTCGAAGTCTTTTGCTGTCTTTCCTGAGACCAGAAAGGAGAGATCAACCATCATCCTGGCTACTTCCATGGGCTCGGTGGTCTCCTGGCTGGCGTTGAGCTGTCTGGTGTGCTGTTGGTTTAAAAGAAGCAAACACAGAAGTATGCGGATGAGAGGGATGGAATTAAAATATCTGAAAATCATGTCCAGTATATTAATGGTTCTTATTCCTCTGGAGAGAAGTTTATGAGCTTTTGCAATATGTAAAATTACATAGCACTGGGAGTGGTAGCACATGCCTGTTAGCTCAACTACTCAGGAGGCAGGAGGTTCACAAGTTCCAGACCAATCCACAAAATTTAGTGAAACTCTGTCTCAAAACAATTATAAATAATGAAATATATTTTAAAAGGTGAAATTTAGCTCAATTGGTGAGCACCATAGGTTCAATGCTGAGAATTACACCCAGTAAAATAAAATCATAACAGGAAAACTATTGAGAGCTACACTGTTTAGTTTATCTAATAGACACAAGAATTTCCTAATATTAAATAATATGAAAAATTCATATTTATTGATGTAAATAATCACCATTGACCAAGTCCATAATTGCTATGAACCAATCTTAATCCCCACAATAACTCCAAAAATTATTTAATCAATATGCCAATAACAGGGGCATAGAGAAAGCCACAGAATGGTAAATAATACCTCAAAGTTACAGAGGCATACAATGCTAGGTAGTTTGGTTCTCACCCCACTGTCTGAAGCACACTCACAGTCATGTGGCCTTGCTGAAGGCGAGTCAAAAATCAGTTATAAATGCAGGAAAAGAGTGTTGACTATTTTTCTCTTGGAGTATAGAAATTAAATATGTCCTTGAACATTTTTGCAGAACAGATTTAACCTTCTTAGGATGGAGTTATAGAGTCAGTGCAAGAAAGAGGTTCTCTGAAGATAGCTTTTTTCAACTCTGTTCTTAGAGAAGAGAGAGCAGGAGAGGGTAAATGCCTTACTGCACCCAGACCCCATGCTGCAGACCATCAAATGGAGAAGAAACACTTGCGATCATAAGAAGTGTTATAAAACCAAAGGTTTACATAAGAACTAACAAGAAAGAGCCAAAATGAGGAAAGGCAAAGACTAAACTACAAATGCAGAAAGAAGAACTAGCACAGTCCATGGCTGAGATGTCAGGAAGATCCGGCACCTCTGGGTGGACAGTCTGTGCCTGAGCTGTGCTTGCTCCACAGTTCTTGCCTCTTGTACTGTGATCTGGACAGCACAAACTACGGGGACTCTCTGACTTGTTTTGAATGAGATCTAAATCTGGTTCTGTCTTGTACTGCCTGTGACTTGTTGAGCTGCAGTTGTTTTGTGTTTTGTTTTGTTTCTGTAGTTTTAAATCTAAAGTTTACACTGTCCCTATGTGTAATACTTTTGGATTCAAAGGCAGATTTTCATAATTTTTTGACATCATGTAATGCTGTAAAGCAGGTGGTTTAATTCTGATCCCCTATTTAATATGTAAATCAACAAGCCAGTTTGGTTCTCATTAAGCTCTGCAATCTCCATCTCTTCCTTTTGTCTTCTCTGCCCTAGAAATAGTTTTTTCCTGCACTTACTAATATGTGCTCTCGAAACCCTTCTTTTGTTCTTTAAACCTTTCAACATCTGTGGATACGTTTCATTTAATAAGTTTCCATGGTTTTCTGAGTTCACACATATTCCTAACAGTGTTAAAAAGCTATAGAGAAATTGAAGGGAAATTTACAGGCAAAAATTTCAGTAGTCAGCTCTGTATGATCTGTTTTTTCCTTCTTTGTGATTTATCTACCTCATATTTAAAAAATTTTTAAAACTATCATTAAGTATTTTTAAAGAAATATATTGTTCATTTATTTAATAAATATATTAATCCAATAATATTAGTTATTGTGAGGATTTAAAGAAATATATTGTTTTTCAACTTCCTCATAGAAAATGATTTTTTGATTCAGCTGTATGTATATTTTGTCAGCACTTTTCAAAACTTTCATTTTTGGACCCCACTATCAAAAGTTACTAAAAACAAAGAACATTCACCTCTTTGAGTCTCATTCATCCATATTCATTAATTTAAAAAAGGAAAAATTTAAATAACAATATATGCATTGTATGTAAATATAATTGTTATTTTAAAAACTATTATCAAAAATTTTAATGAAAATCATTGCATTTTTTACAAACTTCTTTTAAAGCCCTTCTTACCAGAAGTCAGCTAGACTTTCCTAGTATCTTCTGCATTCAATCTGTTATGCTGTATAGGGCTTTATGCTGCACCATATGATGAAAATCCAGCCTCACCTTGATATTGAGTTGAAAAGGGAAAATATTATAATAGCCTTCATGGATAACTATAGATATTATTTGATTTCAGACTCAAACTTTAGAAGTTTACTTAAAGGCCTTTCTCAAAGTACATTTTTTAAAAAATCCCCTTTGAAGCTTCATCAATTATATTAAGAGAAAAGCTTTTTGTATTTTGCAGTTGTTGGTTTTGTTTTGTTTTATTACAAATCCATCTCAGGATATATCATTCCTGTGATCACACTGGTTCAAAAACATCTACATCCACCCCATATCTCTTTTTTATTGCATAGCATGGCATTACTTTATATCACATTATAATGCATTTGTTTGTCTCCTAACATCCAAACTTGAATAAACACTTTACAAAGGGCCAGTGCCAGGTCTTTCTTATAATGATCCTCATGGACTCTAGACAATGTCTTGGCATTAGGAATGTAAATACATTTTTGATGAATATATTCATTAAATAAATGAACAAAAGGTAAAATATTTTTTGTCAACATTGGGTTGATTTTATACTTATAATTCATTTCAATTTAAATTAGCCATACTTCAAGTGCTCAATAACCATTATACTTGACAGCAGGGTTTTAGACTGTGAAGTTGCTAGTTGGTATATGGGATTATATGGCATTAATTCTGTTATGGCTGGGATTTAGATGCCCCCACCTAGCACATGAAGTCATAGGTGGGGCTTTTTCAGTGAGAGCTACATCTAGTGTGTGTGACACTGGGACTGATTTCTGAGGCAATGTTAGAATCAAGGGCACTAGGATTAATGGTGTCAGTGCTACCTGCCCTAAGTAGCCTGGATAAGATAAAAAGATTGGAAAGATACAGTTAAGGTCCCTGGCTTGTTTTGCTACCTTCTGACTTCCATGAACTGTTTTTCCTCTCTAATGCCTGTCTGCTATGCCAGCATGCTTTGGAGCCAGCTGATTATGGACTAAAACCTCTAAAAGCTGTGAGATAAATAAACCTTTTCCCCTTTAACTTTGGGCATCAGTTATTTTACCTCAGTAATGAGAAAGGTAACTAAGCCAATTTTGTAAACTCTGAGTATGCTACATGTATTATTTTATATGATATCACTATTATGCTGAGGTGGTTATGTAAGAGAAACTAACAATTAAGGCCCATTTGCAAATAAAAATTGTTTTTTTTTAGAGAATTTTCTTTTTTATTTTGAAAGTGGTAAAATACAATAGAACAAGACAGAATAAAGCCAACTAAGATCATACAGTGAAATTAGTACAGAACTTCACAGCAGGTTATCAGGATAACAGTAATAGGTATCACAGTATATTTCTTTATCTTTATAATACTTGTTCTTTCAATCACTTACATCAAAATATAATGAAATACAGAGCATTATAGAACTTATCAAAACAGGATATTGAATAGACAGTACCATTAATCAGAATAGAGCAAAACAGTAATAAAAATATTTGCCTTCAAAGAGATGGTAGAAAGAAGTCCCCCTTATTTGCTATGGTCAACATCCCAGGAGATGCTCAGATTTATGGTTCCCATTTGCTAACTAGGGGGACAGGAGAAGGGGGTAGGGGAAGTGGGATGTTTGACTCTAGGCCATGCACCAGTAGGTTCACTATTGCTTAGCAGGGAGGCAGGCTGGTTGCTTGGTTTCCCAGCATCCTAAGTTCCAACAGTGTGGATCTCAGAAGACACCGGTGGTTCTCCCCCTGGAGGAGCCGCAGTCTGGCACACCGCAGCCGCTTACAGGGAGAGGAGCAGCTTGCTTGGTTTCCCAGCACCCTAAGTTCCAACATGGTGTGGATCTCAGGAGCTGCTGGTGGTTCTCCCCCTGGAAGGGCCGCAGTCTGCCACACTGCCACTGCTTACCAGGGAGGGGAGGTTGCTTCAAAAATTTTCTTTTATCTAAAGAAATAAAAAACCAATTCTGTCTTTTTTTCCTTTGCATTAATACAGAAACAAAACCTGAGGAAATTTCTGAGTCCCAGACTAATGATCAAAAGAATCAGATCCATGACTCATCCAAATGGCAAGCATCACAAATAGAGCCAGAAAAGGAAGATTCCAGGAAAGCTGAAGGTAAATATGGATGAGAGAGAAGTCTCCACAGGAGAGAGCCATTGAGCATCCCTATATATTTTTTCCCCTGGAGTTCAGCTTCTGAAGCTTTTACAAAGTCCTTTCGTAGTTTTGTTTGTTGTTTTCTCTAAAAAATTATACTTTACCACAGGAATGCACATATCTGGCTGATTAACTCAGCTAGTCACCAGTTTTTAAAGTGATGTTTATGTACCTTTTCTTAGCAATAGATTATTGGTTTAACACTCAAATTAGTTATACCATGAAAAGAGAAAGCCAGATATTGCCATACTATCTTCCTTTTTTCTGTTCCAAAGCGACCAGCTTGGCAACCTGAATGAATATGAGAAAGAGGGAGGGTACTTGTCAAATACCACCTATGCAAATTAGTCAGCTTTACTAAGTTAAGTTTACTAAGTTTTGTTTTCAGTTATTTATTTATTCTTTTATTTATTTTTGAGACAGGGTCTCACTATCTAGTACAGATGGGCCTGGAACTCACAGTAATTCTCCTGCTTCAGCCTCCTGAGTGCTGGAATGGCAGACATGTACTGTCATGCCCAGCTGGTTGTACTTTTAGCAAAATATATTATGCCTAAATTCTTCATTACACAAGATGTGAATGAGCTCTGGCTGGTGTCTGTGCATGTGTGTACTACATTGTTTCATTGTGTGTGTCTTTTCTGATGGAGGAAATAAAATTTAAAATAAAAAACTTTCCAAATTAGCCAACACCTGGACCTACACTAAAAGGCAGCAGTGGCTCTAGAAGGTAAGGATAGAAGTGATGAAAAATGGGGATGGAGAGAAAAGTACAGGAACTCTTTCCAGATTCCACCCGAGGTCATTCTAACTTTGTCCGTATTACTTAGGGATTTGACCCTGTCATCTGAATCTAGCTCCTTATTTATTCAGCTTCATTCTTCCGCAAACACCAGAAGCAATGCTAATCTCCCCTAATCTAATATGGTCATCTACGTGATTCTCAGTTGACTTGCTTCAATTAGCTTCATTAGGCAGTCCACAATGGCTGGATGTTTTATTAAGGACCATTTTTTATGTGGTAGCTTATTAATAAATTATCAGAAATGAGATGAGGGACAGAGCTTCTGTGGAAAAGTTTAGGTTGAAGAGACAGGAGCATCAGAGAGCCCATTTTATTAGGACATCCCACCTGAAAAGAGGGAGATTTGTTATCCAAATCCTCCCTTGGGGATCATAGTTGATTTATTGCCTCATTTCCTAAGCTTTGTCTGTATCTTACGAGAGAATCTTTTACAAGGCACGTAATGAGGCATCTCCTATTTTTGTTTGGAAATTATTGTCAGTTGCAAACACCTAATAATTGCTAGCTCTAAATAGATTTGGTTTTATGTGTGGCATTTTAGTTTTCCTTTTCCCTCTGTGTTTTTAAACATTGACATTTGCTAAGTGAGTGACTGCAGGTCTTGCTTATCAGCATCTTGTGTTAACTGAGGACTACTGTATCACTTAAGATTATTTAGCTCATGGAACTGTCACTGTGAAGTTTAGATTGTGAACATAGCATGCTATAGCTTTTACCAAATTTCTCTTGGATGCACTGGAAGAACCACAGAATTGCCATGGAGGAAGGAGGGAGTAAATTACATGTTCTTTATATTGCAGTGTTGCCAAGGTTTTTGATATACACAGCCATCTATGCCACCTTTCAAAATTCGTATCTACTCATTTTGTTCTGCTACCTACGATTGAATGAGTTCTTGCTGTCAGCTGATCGGGCAGGAGAATGTGACAGTGAGGGCACAGAACCAAGGAGCCAGAGACTAGGCTTACAACTTCTCGGCTGACTGACTGTGTGTCCTCAAACAAGACAGTTAATCTCCCTGTGCCCTTTTATTTCCTCTTTGTTAAAATTGGCCTAATAATCCTCTTCAAAATTAAGGGGCAACCCTAACATTTTTTATGTATTGCTTATTAGTGTTTTTTCTCATCATTCTTGAAGACTTGAAGCTTTCTAGGATTTCACTATATCATCTCATTGGATGCTCACGGTGGATCTCAAGCTCCCACCCCGCACTCAGCTCAGCACACTAACTCACTCACCTTCAGATCCCTGTAACTTCTTCCTGATCCCTTGCTCACCTGTTGCTTCCAGTAGGGCTATATGTTTTCATCTCTTAAATCAGCCCTGGTCTTGAAGCAAATGTGGGCATACATTTTTCTTCATAAAATCTTCTACAGTCTTCCAAGCTTTGTAAAAATGAATTTTATCCTTTTTGGGAAAAAAATCAAAACAAAACAACTACTGACTATGTGCTTGCACAGAAATATTTACTGTCTTGAGGATTCATAATTTAGGTTACTCTGTTCCCACAGCCAATATTTACCAACTAGAGTTACCCTCCTCCACATAACTCACCCTGATCTGCCCAAGAACTGTTTTTAAATTGAAAGATTTTGTGTTTTAGACATTCCCTCAGAAATATTAAGACAGTTGGTTATGCTAACTTCATAGAACATTTATAATGTCTGGGGACGTTTTCCTTGACATAGCTTGGAGAAGGTGGAGGATCATTAGCAATGATTTGAGATCAGGGATACAGGAAACAACATAATGCTGTCCCCACAATAAAAAAGATCTGGTTCAAACTTTCAGTAGCATGAGAAGTACCAGAAGAAGCTACTAGTCGTTTTTGTAACATAAAAGTGAAAACTTACAGGAATTGCTTATTAACACTATTAGATTTTTATCTCCCCATGAATATTAAATAAATATTTAGTTTTTTGTAAGATTCTCTTGGTATAATTGCAAAAAGATGATATTGTTTCTCTCTTCTGTATAAATTTCCAACATGGTTGGGATGCGGGAATATATTTTGGAGATGAATAGACAACAGTTCCACTCGATAAACAATTCAGTGTAAAGCAATCAACACAAACAATATGCATTTGAATAATTTAAACATGGGAGGAAATGCTGAAGGAAAGGAAATATATTATCCCGAGTTACAAGTCTAGTCACTATTGATCATAAATCATTGCAGTGCTTCCAATTCCATTTGCTAAGCGTTTGTTGAGCATTTCAAAGAAATAAGGTTCATAGAAATGACAGAAACCGGAGAAGGGACCCTGCTTTGCTCTGTCAAAAAGCAATTTTGCATCATTTTTTCTCAACTGTTCTTTTGTTTTCTTAAATTGGTTAATAGTACCCAAACATTCCAGTTTAGACACCTCAGAGTTCAAGGCCTAGCCCTTTTTTTTCCAAGCCTGTCCTCTTTTTGCTTGCTAATTTTTATCAATACTACCTCTTTAGGGTCTTAAACTTTCTTTTCTCTGCATCTTTGCATCATTTTACAGATATACATTCAGTTCAGTCCCACGTAATGCCCACCTGGCAGGTATCTCCTCCTCCTCTTCCTGATTCTCTTCTGTCCTGGTGAGTACTTCCTCTATGTTCTTTTCCAATATATCCACATATCCAGAGTCCTCTTCCTCCCAAACTTAGATGAAAAAGTTTTAGTCTTTTTCAATTTATCTAGAAGGAATAGTTTCCATCTTTGAACTTGTGTAACATTCCTCTCATGTTTATTTAACACTTTTTATATGTGACATAATTCTTTGTGTTCACATTATCTTTGATATAAATTCTATGTTTTTTGTAATCCCAGAACCTTTTTTACTATGGGATCTATGATATATCACTGATAATTATTGAATTCATAATGAAGACAGATGAAATGATTCGCCCTTCTCTAAATTTTCTTTTGCAAAGACCCCTGAAATCTTACAATTCTTACAACTGGAAAAAAGTATTTCTCACTTTTTAAAAAACCAGAATGAAAATATATGCAGTTTATCTAGTTAACAATTGGATTAATTGCTTATCTTTTAAGTCATAAAATGGGAGAAAGGTGACCTCCTGCTTCCAGGCTATGCATTCAGATGGCCACTATAGCTTCCTCTTTCAATTTCCTTGCCACAGAAAGCTGCAGCTTGGAATATCAGATTTACTTGCTACAAATGCACTGATCTTTGGCCACTTGCCGCTATTCTTTGTTGAATCCCTGCGCCCAGTATTGGAAATGGAAAACTGATGTGTAATAAAAGGCTGCCTGTTGTTCGTGTGACATAAACATCAACTTCGGGCATTTCTCATCTCTGTACTGTATATCCCTGCACTACAGGGAATGGTTGAAAACATGTGATTGGTTTTGTGAATGTGAAATAAAAATATTTGCCAGCAAATTTATGTTTTGTAAGTATATATCTATGAGAATGCCATAGGGAGAGGAGAAGAGCTGAATGGGCTCAAGATGTTTATAGGAACAAAACTGTGAAGAAAAAACAGCTAGAAATTTTTCCAGTGTTCCAGAAAAGTAGACTGTATTTGGACCTTATTAATAAGTAGCATGTTTGTATTACATAAGGAAAGATATGCTACTATATCCTACTTTAAAAGTATAGATAAAACTTAAGTATTTATACTTTAAGAAAAAATTTAAAAGTTAGCTAAATGAGACAGAGTTCCAATGCTGTGCAATATTATAATTTATCAATGGAATATTATAGACACATTGTTATTCAAATGAGGACAAAATACATAGTTCATACTTGGCATCTTTAACACATTTTGAATGCTAAGGAATGCAAGTAGACATAAAACACTATTATAATTACTCGAGTAATTTACTCATTTATATCAATCTACTAAACAGTAATGCTATAAATTCTAAATAAACATGATGTCTTTATAAAGTTAGCTTGTCTGAAGAATTTCATCTTAGTAACAGAAAGTGACCCAGTTGTATAAAGTTAGAAAATGTGATGAAATTATCAGGTGTGGTGGTACATACATGCAACCCCAGCACTCAGGACTGCTGTCAGTTCAAGGCTAGCTGGAGCTATATAGTGAGTCAAGGTCAAATTGAACTAAAAAAAAAAAGAATATGATACATGCATAATAGTGGTCAAAGTATGTGTTGTCTTGGAAAGTAAATATTAATGAGAGATATACTACA